GATTCCTGTGCGAGGATCGTGACACGTGCTTCAAAGTCCTCCCCGTTATGTCTCTGGGTTCTATGCGTGCCTAGTGGGTATTTGGTTTACGTTTGCCCACTAGGTGTTCTTTTATGCGGACACAGAGGGGTCTGCCCGTTTCGCCAATATATTCGCCTCCGCACGCCTCACAGGAGATCAGATAAACTATACCCGAGCTCATGCAATCACCATCTTTACCATTAGGGCAAATTATACAATTTTGAATTGCACATAGACGGTCATATAGGCGAACTTCATCAAACAAAGACGACTACACGACGTATGCGGACTACCAGAGGAGAGTCACCGAGTATTGGTCATCGAATTGCGAATACTACGCACCTGTCTATGAAGCCGACAAAACCATATGTTCGCCAAGTGGAAGAAGTGCGAGACGAAGGCATACTTTTGTGCTCAGTATTTGGAGGACCGTCTCTGGAGGAGAATAGTGGGCAGGCTCTGAGGAAGGCGAAATCCGTCGAAACGTCAGCTTATTCGTGAATAAAGAATAATAACACATCGCGTTTGTTCAACAAAAATACGAAGAATTACTTGATCAATGTCGAGGTCAATAGAAAGTCCGTCGTGGGAGACCACTTGCTGCCCTTAATCCGTTTCCTTAGGTCCGTTCACGCTTATTGGAACGAACATCTTCGAATGATATATATATATATATATATATATATATATATGTATAGACATCTGGGTTGAGAAGTCAAAAGGGCAAACCACTTAGCTCAAACGCCTGGCAAAAGGTGATTGGCTTGTGAATTATCGAGAAGCTGTAGAGAGAATGAAGAAGAACAGTGTTAAGTTTACAGGTATATTGGGTAGACAAACTATTTGTCGAATGTTGTTTTCCTCATCCATGTAGACTTCTTTTCTATCGGCTTTGTTAAGTTCTTTACAAAATATGTTGTGTGTGTCTAGTTGTACAGCTTTTCACTTACCACTTTAGAAGCAAGCTTGTGACGAATACCAGTTAGCTCTTCAGTGTGGTAAAGAATATCGTAATGCTGACTTACACCTCAACGCTGGATCAGCGTTTCGGTACGTGGATCGGTGGTTTTTTTATGTTGTACTCCGCATGTTTTTTCTGTTAAGTTAGATTTCAACCCTCCAAATTGATTTCCACTCTATCTCTGATTTTCTTTCATTGTTTTTCAGATACCAGGAGAATTATTCTGAAGCGTTGTCACATTTAAAACAAGCAGTCAAATATGATCCCAACAATGTCATAGGTTCTCATGGACGTTTAACATCACTCTGCCAATTTTTATTTAGTATTTCGTTGGCGATTCAAAACGCAGGTACATTTACCATGATTGAGGTTAAAACAAAATGTAATTAATAGGAACTTCTAATTTCATAACGATAGCCCTTAGAAATCCTCTCAACGGTTTATCGCCTCATTGTGGCTGGGAGGTGGTCCCGGGTGTCCGGCTGCGGTATGCAGTGGGAAGATTCGTTCGTCCCTTAGGTCTTCTAAGCTGAGGAGTCCTGCGTTCCCATCAGAAAGCCCAGCTAAGAGTAAACCAATACCAGGGCCCACCACTATCCTGGTGCCGAACTAGTTGCATGGTGGCAAACTCCCTCTGAGCGACAATGGCGGTGACTACCTGTGGTGGTGACAACCTGGGCCAGACTTTGGCCAGGCTGATCTGGGGACTTCAGGAAACCATAAAGCCAAACCAGCAAAACTTCGATAAAGTGGAAATTATGTTGGAGCCCGCACAAACATTGAAGACGAAGCGTCCAAATCCTTAGAAATATATTGAGAACTATTGGTATTAAACGATAAATATGATGTCATTTTAACCACTCGTCAAATCGGATTTTCCAGTTTTCATTTTCAGGAGGGCTACGGTCGAAACGAACGGCGGAATTTAAGGCGTCGCTCTTAAATTGTTCTTCATCGATAAACCCTTTTACTGGACTTACTACCGTTGCGTTATTCAAGGATTTGAAAGATGGACCTAACACAGGGATCGTCACAATAGGCAAGATTGTTGCGAGCCTTTCTCACGAGGATACCGTTCCTATGTATGTTTTAGTAATTTTCACCCATTAGTAATCAATCAGTTGCATTTTTTAATGTGTGAGTTGATAGGTCAGTATGAAAGGAGCACCAGTCATCGCCTTTAGAAAGTCTTCATTTACTCTGCGTCAAACCTTCCTTGATCGTGCATGTGTATCGTGATAAATTGACCGGCACTAACCATAGCATGCATACACTGGGCCTGTTATCATTATCAGTGTATTCGTTTTAGTGCATCTGTACTAATGGACGTTGAAGGTGACCGTCTAGCTCTCTGTATATATAATAGTGCTCCGTCATTATCATTCTCAATTGGAGATACTATAGCAGTTGCAGATCCTTACGTCATAGTGGTGAAGGTAATGGAGTTCTGTTCATTTGACGTTTTAGCTGTTTGCATGTATCTTTACTTCCAGGACTTGAATCTTCCTGACTTGCCTGGCGGACCATTTCGCTCCATTCGTGTGCCAAATCCTTCGAAGATTTCTCGTAATGGAAGTCTACCAAGACCTACACAGTTGGCACCATCACATTTGAAGATCTCTACTCTGTGACTGCAAAGAGATGGTGTGTTTTAAATAATCGTAAAGAATATGCATGTACATTGCATACGTTTGTGCCAGGATGACGAACTGACGCCTTAGAGCTATTGGTAGGAGTCACGGGAAGATTCCAAGAGGTAGTGGGACGCTGAGTTACTAGGGCAGGAGTCGTTTGAGTTCATTGTGCATCTGTTACTGCATTTTCCATGGCATCGGTAGCTTCGAACAGTGTTACAGTTGTCCAATACTTAGTGTTCGATCAAACGACCACATATCTCCTTGTTCTGGCGCAACCAGCAGTAATGCTGAACGTGTAACACTATTCGGACCAATCGGTGCAATAGAAAATGCAGCGTGCACAACGAACTCAAGCGACTCACGCTTTGGTAACTCAGCGTCCCACTACCTCTTGGAATCTTCCCGTGACTCCTGTCAATAGCCCAAGACGTCAATTCGTCATCCTGGTAGTAAAGTGAGTGTTAGTCAAAGAATGGAGATCATACAGAAGTGTTGAACGTTTTTCGCAGCTTCGCACAGGAGGGAATACGAGGAAAACAAATGAAATAGTTGTTAGTAGTTGGTAAAATCGATGAGAGAGTAGTCTTACTGACGGAATAGGACGAAATAGGCTGCACGTTCTCAAAGAATATGCAACAATATTAATGCAGATTATGAATCCATGGATATGTGGCTTGCACAGTTGTAATAACTCAGAGGTAGCTGAAATAGGCTTCAAGAAAGTGCGTTGAGCTAGTCCTAGATAAGTCTGGTGCCAATATGTTGACTCCAGAGATGACGAATTTGATGAAGCCAAGGTGCGAGATGGAAGCTACGACTGCGATAATATGTTTTTGCAAGGCACCTCTAATCACTGCGCTACATGCGCAGTCTGATAAACAGTACACGAACGGGAATTTTTGAAAGTATTTCAAATGCTGACTATATTTGTAAAAAAAAAAGGTGTAGCAAGGGAGAACTTGAAAAAATTCCGTCATCGTTTCGTAAAGAAGAGATGGAAGTGTGGAAAGACGTAATTTGTCCCACGACCGACTTTCTGTAAACCTCGGCATTGATCAACTAATTCTTCCTATTCTTGTTGTTTGTTTCTGTTTGGTTATGGACGTGTTTGGCCGAATAGATTGCTGTCAATTTGACTTTTCCAGGCTCTGAGGAAGGCGAAATCCGTCGAAACGTCCGCTTGTTCGTGAATAAAGAACAAAAATAACACCTCGCGTTTGCTCAACAAGAATACGAAGGCGTAATTTATTCTGCAAATATCTTTTCTTCTAAAACTGAAGAACCGGTTATGAAAACTGACACCTACTGTCAACGTATACTGATAACTCCCACAACATATTTCTCGATTACTCAACGAGTAGGAAAAAATGGGTCATTACTGCACATAGGTTAGTCTTTATTAAGAGAGATAAACAAACTATTGAGGTACATTAAGTTGTCATCGCAACTATGATCACATAGAAGTATTCACACCTACTTCTGGATAATCACAAATTAATCTTTCTTTAACTTAGGAGCATTTACGAACTCTTCGCCATTTAAGAATATGAACATCATGCAAACCAGAAAAACGGCAAGCCAGAAGAGAGTGGCGGGAATGTTTTCTAAAAAAAAGTTTGTAGTATATGTAATAGGCCATGACTGGACTCTAACTTTACTTTGAGAGCCACGGTAAACATCTTCCCATCAAGTTGTCTAGTTGTAAACGCTGCTGAATGAAATACCTGCAACTAATATGCACAGAATTGTCATTGCCATTGCGAAGCACGCGGCCAAGAGCGCAATGCCGTTCTGGTCGAGTGAAATTAAAGTAGCTTCCAAGCTGTCTGGTAAATTATTTACATCAATCACAAAATTTCCTAGGAAAACATCCATCGCATCCTGAAGAAAAGAAACTTGTCAGACATGAAGACAACACGGGTTATCGAATTAAGACGTTGATAACATGAGCTGCTTTACATAAACATAGGCAGAACTGGACTCACTTGTCGGTATCCATCAGCAAAATTGTTACGGAAATACCGTGTAATGGCATTGATACAATCATTCAGAGCGCCAATGTAAGTACGTTTTCCTAGTCGAGTGAAATCGGCCTGAACACTGTTCACTTACAGTTGTGTAGTGCGCTTGTTATTATGAGGACAAGCAAATTAGTAACCACACCATTTTTATATGGGAATTTACTTCATCACTAGTATTTTAAATTTCGAAAAAATAGAATTTACCTTCAGAGCACCTGTTCCAGCGTACTGACGGCTACATTCATCGCCATTATCCGCCCATACTAAAGCAATAAGACTTAAAACTTTAGGCTAAGCGTATATATATATAACATATATATATTACATATATATGCACACATGTATCTACATACAAATATATGTATATACATATATTTTTACATATATATATATATAAGCACATACTACATATTATACCTACAATGCTTAAATAACGTTTCCAGTTCCGGCCACGTCTCAACTCGTTGATCCCCTGCTAAAATTTTGAGGTATCGCAACTGCTCCGTCAAAGATTCTCGCGCGATCATGGCTTGCACCACATTTGTCCTGAAATAAAAAAATTATAGTAGTCGTTATGCAAAGTACTACCTATAGCTGTGTTTCAGAAAAGTTCTCTATCGAACACAAGTTGTTTACTCAAAGATGGATTATTTTTTAATACTATTATGTAAGAAAGGAGAAATCCAAGAAAAAGAAAACCAACCTATCCAAGCAGTCCATACAATTAGTTCGGAAGAAACCTGTTTGAGATCGCTGAGTAAGATCCGACTCTGCGTGTTCCAGGGAAAATGCAAAGAATCTTAAACGTCTGTACGTTTATTTTATGCAGAGACAAAAAGTACATACTAATCAAAACTTTGGCTCCAATAGAGATGGCAGTAAAATAGGTTAATAAAGATAACTTGATAGTAAAACAGAGCAGTACATATTTTAAGTATAAACATATAACATTTCGAGCTAGGAAGTTACATGCAAGACTTACCCAAACTTAGTGATTTCAAATCGCAATTGATCTCTCAATAAGGACAATCTGTGCCACTGCAAGGCTTGACATTCTTTGTGGAAATCAAAAGGATTATACCTAAACCACTCAGTTGCCATTTACGAAATCGAGAAGAATATAAAAGGATTTAGTGCTACCGTACAAAACTGAGATTAGCTTGTTTAACGATACGTTCAAGCTCACTACCGATCTTCTTCTCTCGTCCCGCTTGACTAATTAGATTCACGATTACCTTAATGTCAGAATAAAAGACAGAAATTTCGACAAAATTTGGGACAAACTAGTCATAAAGTCTATGCAGTAGTCATAATTCAATGTCCACATATTCTATATAACATTAGGGAGACGGCATAACATTTACTAATAAAAAACATACATGATTACCACCGTAGGTTTTACGTTGGTTCTCGAAATGTCTTACGTATGCACCAAGCTGGTCGTCATTTGCTTTCATCGTCGGTGCGGGTTGCCATTTGAGATTCGGTCGTTGAGACCACAACAAAGGAATTGAGCCACGTAACTAGATACGAAGTGTTAACAATAAGAACGATAAGAAATCCCAGAAATTTTCTTATTCCTATTTTTATTTTATACGACCCGTTTTCATGTCTACGGTGCGGATCCCAACACTTCTCACATTCGATTCGTTTCCGCTCAACCACCATCCACGAAAATCTTCCAACTTCTACGTGTGGTTTCGGCTACTGCTTGAAGATTTTCACTTCATCTTGAATGCTGTGCAATGCCGGTCTAGTCGATTTTCCCTGGAGTCCTGAGAAAGACGGGCTGGAGCGTTCCAAATTGGATTACAGAGTGATTTTTCCCTAACAAGACCGGTACCAATTCCCGATTCCGGACTGATGAGAGGCTTGGTTGGCCCAGAGCGAAGTCGAACTAGCACTGTGCTCGTGATGATCCACATCACTACCACTGTGCTATGCGCCCCTTTTCCAGAAAATAAGGAAGGAAATTTCAGAAAAGAAGTAAATCAAACCTGTAAGAAAGATGTTAACTTTCGGCCTCTAGAAGATATGGTTTCCACAATTTGCTCCGTCTCCACAAAATTGGCAGGATGCCCATCCATACTCACACCACGCTTGTAAAAACGTACTCCGGCTCTGAATCGATTAGAAAAATAGTGTGAACTGGATAAACTAACTATTTACAAGCAAAGTAGAATGCGTACCTGTACTTGCTCCGTCTCGAAATAAGAGATAGTTTAAATTGATGTCCATTAATGCAATGGTGAGTTTCTCCATAGAAACCATGAATAACAGGTAAACAAAATCGAGAGGTCTAAATCAAGAGGAAAACAAGATAGGAAAGCCAAATTGTAACCAAAAGGGTATAAAACGATCCAGAAATGGAAAACTGGATGTTTAAAAACCGGGACTGGCTCACATGTTGAGTTGAACGAAGTTGAGACAACAGGTAGGCGTTCCAAACGAAACGATCGTCAGCCTAGACACGCCACTATCATTGCCATATTAGTAACAGAACAATTCGGTAACTTATTCTCACCCGATCAATCATTGACGTTTGTTTAAACAACGGGGTACCATTCTCACTCAACCACTGAAGTGAACGCGACAGATCTAGTGAAAAGGAAAAGTAAAATCCGCTACTTCCAATAACGCTTTGAAGCATTTCCGTAAAATGGCGATTGTACCATATCTGTACCAAACTTAAATGTATTCTGGGCATTATATATGGATATATACATACATATATACATATATGTATATGTATGTACATATACATATATATGAGTACACACATTTATAAATGTAAGCAAAATGATACCTGTTTCTCTGTCAAGTGCAATGTTGTCTTCTTATATGGAATAATATCCGTCTCAGTAACTGTCCATATATAATGGCCATTTAGCGTGCCAACCAAAAGAGATTTTTTGATCACTATCAGTGCCATACCTTAAACCTTAGTGCAGTAAAACTTATGAATTGAAACTATACAAAACTAAGCGCTTTCTTCTATGCCACCACTGCCAAATTATTTACACAAACCTGAGACTAGAGGGATAATACCTAGTAGACCATGAATGTACAGAATATCAGCATCAATAAATGGAATACGTTGTATAGAAGCATCTGAAATAGATTAATAACGAAAAAACCACTAGCAATTATGGAAAGGAATAGATACTTGACACTTTTATGTGATTTGTATGGCGATCGATCTCAAGGTATTCTGACGACAGCAGTTTACCATCCCGATCTCGAGGTTCTAGATAGAACTTTTCAGCCGATATGTACCTAAATACTTATTCTCCAATAACATTCAAAAAGTCGTACACTTAAAAAAAGGATACAGCCCCGGCGTTGATCAATTCCTAAGGGAAGCGCCAAGCATTCGACTTCGTTACGCATCGTTGGAGGTGATTGAATGCATATATGGCCTTTACAATGACTCGCGGTGGCCTACCGATGTATCGAGTCACTGCTGCTATCCTCCCAGATAAGTCATATCAATTGCTGACCCCGGAGGAATGGAGGGTTTACTGAACCTTCGGCTCATGGATCGATCCCGTGTATTGTAGGGCGCCTCCGACCACTGCGCTACACGTACCCTTACCGTGTCGTAACTTAGTCGTATATAAACATTCCCTCATAGGGAAACACAGATAAATCATACATGAAATAAAACCTGACGAGGTAACTTACAGGTTAAAACCTTCGTAAATGTCCGTGGACATTTGCTAAACGATCTATAATTCGCTTTACGAGTATCCGAACTGTAGAGGTACAGCGACCATAAAGGATGAACTAAGGAAAATCCTGCAAAAAATGGATATGAAATGGATACACATTGCGAAACTTCTTCATAACCATGCCATTTCACGAATATTGTTGATAACCATGCATACAGGCAATCCAAAGTGGGTAACAAACGTGAGAAAAGAATGGAATCGGATTAATGTCAAAGCCCCAAAGCTTAAATCTTACACGAGATTTGAGAGATGTGAATAAAGTTTAAAGCAATCCACGATGTAAACGCTCGTCCACGTCAATGAGACCCGAGACCAACGTGGCGGAAGGTGCCGATAAGGACCTGCGCAAAGACTGCTAAGGAAGAGAATACGGAATATATGTAGTGTATATATAATGTCATATACAGTAGGGAATGCAAGCAAGTGATACAAATGTAATATAGTATATAGAGTTAAAGGATAAAGCTGTCGGCGTTGATCAGTTCCTGGGAGATGCATGATGCATTCGACTCCATTCCTAGCATCGTCAAATGTGAGTCCATATTTGGCCTAATAGAGTAGCTTGTAGTGGGCTACCGATGTATCGAGCCGGCGCTGCTATCATCCTTTACAGGTCTGTTACCCATTTGCCTACTCCGGAGTAAAGAAGGGCTTGGTGAATTTGGGGGCGGGGATCGATCCCATGGGGGTGTTTTGCAAGGTGGTCCCAATCACTGGGCTATGCGCGCCCTTAACGCTAGTAGACAGAACTGAAATACAGTCGATATGGGCGAACAAGTCGTTCATACCTTATCTCAACAGAAAGTCAAATAACATTTGTAGTTCTTCGGGAAGAATCGATCTAACGGATTCGAAGGAAAAAGTCATCCATCAGCTATAGAGGATCTCTTAGACGAAAGGCTGCCCAAAGCGGTTCCTTCGGAAAATACAGAAGGGATGAAAAATCGTCGAATGTGACAAAGCGATTTGTGAAGCAGATATCTTCTTCTAGAAGCTTTCAGTTACCTCCAACGCGGATCTGACCAAGATACCAACCGATTCGTCAAACCAATAGGCCTGCATATTACTAACAGAAGCAGGTAAGAAGAACACAAGTGAAAGTAGAAGAGGACGGACGACAAGTGGAGCACGGGCTGGCTGCATCGCGACCGCGCCGCAACTCGAGGGCGGGCAAAGTGACACGGTCGACCTATCAGTTCATCATCTTCGTTCCGGTATTCTGGATCATGTCCATGTATTTAGTTCACATAGAAGATCTGGGATTGCTAGCAACTTTGTCTTCTTCGTTTTTATCAGTAAGACGCTGTGGATCAATGGGCTGAAACCGTTCCTCTAACGTTGTCCTTCTCTGTTGCCCGCGTTGAGGTCATCTTTAATGTTGTAGGTAATTTTTCATTGTGACTTGAATCACGTGGAGACTATGTAATACTTTTGGATAAGGCTGTAGGAGTTCACAGATTGACCGTGGAACTGAACTTTGTGTTAAAAGCTAATAGTTGCACGAATGTGGAGTGGCTTCTGGGTAGCTTTAGGTTAAGAAGTCACAGTCGTAGATCCATTTCACTTAGAATTTTTTTCGTAACTGCATTACTATCTGAGCTGAGTAATGTTTTTATAGTTGATAAGAGTAAAGTGAGATTTCTGAAAGGCACTTTCGTGGCGGAAGAGCCCGTGTGGTCGTTGGTTCGATTCCGCGTCCTGGCCTTGCCAAGCATTCCGCCCTTCCGGGGTCGCTAAATTGGTAGTATACTTGTGTCGGAGCATTGCAGCACTGGTTTTATACATCAGTAGGCCAACACAAGTCATTGAACAGGCCAGATATGCACCCAGTAACTTCTGCGGTGCTACGAATGTAGTCCAATACATGGCGCGTCTATCAGGAATTGATCAACGCCGAGCGATTTAACACTTTTATTTCCATGATTTGGCATGATACTAAAGCGTGTCCTCTGCTCAACATGGATTATGTGCACTTACTTTATGTCCTCAACGCTACTGCAAAAATATAAACACGCTAATCAATAATAAAGAAGAGGACAAAACAAACTCTGCTTCGATCAATCCCTGTGGGATGCGCCATGCATCCGATTTCATTAAGCATCGTTTGGAGGTAATCGAATGCATATCTGGCCTTTACAATGACTTGTGGTGGCCTACGGATGTATCGAGCCAGTGCTGCCATCTTCCCAGACAAGCCTGGTACCAATTTGCTGACCCCGGAGGGCCCTGGGCGCGGGATCGATCCCATATGTATTGCAGGGCGCCTCCGACCACTGTTCTAAACGCGCTAATCAATGGCTTTTTAAATTGCTTAGCTGTTATTGGTTTCTTACAGAAGTTTTATTCGGCTGGAGTGAAGTTAGCCGAATGAAGTTTTCGTAACAAACTTTTGTGGACTAAACAGTCTAGGAGGACATTGATTCTTTATGTCGAAGTTGTCGAAGCAGGCGGTCCAGGAAATTATAAACACAGCTGTCATTTAGTGTAGCAAGTGATTTGTGAAAGATTTCAAATGCTGGAAGTACAACCTTCATTGCTTGACTTATCAGACTCATTTGGAAAGCTTCTTATTGAACAGAATTTCTCTGTGCTTCAGTAGGGTCAGCTCAACTTATGCTAGCTGGCTGAGGGGAATTCCTCTTGATTCTCTTAAGTCTTAGCAATTATATTTCTAACACTTCTCTTTCGCCCACTACACTATAGCCACCGAGTACAGCTTAAAATTTCAGATTCCAAGAAGTGCTGTTACTTCGTACGACTGTTTAATCAGTGGTTAATGTGAACCTTTGGGCCTTCTAGTGTTGATAGCTACAGTATACGTGGAACTCGTCTCACTGCTAATTTCAGCACGGTGCCAGAAGTACGAATAAGTGGACGGCGTGAGTCATTTACTAGCTTATATAGCGTTCTGGATTCTATATTGCTACATGCTTTTAACTGACCTATATCAATATTCATTGGTATAATCTAACTTAGGATATGTAAATGATAGATGTTGCTTTACCTAGTCATAGGCTGAGCAAACTCTGTTCAACGAGGGGTGCGTCTTTACAACAAGGAAACTTGTCAGGATATGGCCGAAACAAAGGATATAGCTCCCGGTACCTATATGCTCGAATTAGGGAAGACGTTTGTAGGACAGCGTCGTTCAGATGACCCTTCCTACCATACACTTCGGTGTAGGTTTTTTAATGCAAAAATTAGTGGCGAAGTCTAGAGGTTTTTGATATTACTTCCAGATGATTTCAAGCCTATGTCAGTTGCGTCATCAGATTCCGATACCTATATCGCTTTTGGGACAAATGGAGATGTGCACGTTAGTTTAAATAGGTGGTACTGTTCTGTGTTCTTATTAGAAAGTTCTTTTCTTTTCAGGTTGCAGTGCCAACAGATGGAGATAACATGAGCGTATTTAAAGGGTCAAAGAAAGAAGCTAAAACTAAGGAGTGTTTGTTGTTTTTTGATAAGAAAACGGGAAAAGTGCGGCTTGAGAAAATCGCTTCGAATATCAGTGTGAAGAAAACTAGGTTAGTAGAATCGATATTGCCATGTTATTTAGAAACATCCATTTGCTGGTCCCTTAAGAGATTGAGTTGAATTTTGTTTGGTTTTGAAGAGATTTGGATCCATCCACAGAGAATATTCTGCGTTCTGAAATGGCTAGACTCCGTGCTTCTCGTATTGATCGGCCTCCACCGCCAGAACCAAGGTGTTGATATAGTTTTTGTTTGAACAAGAACTAGCTGACTTCTTTCTTCTATTATTCATTGTTATGAAAAATACTGGTGAGATCTTCACGTAGAACATGTTTCAGTAGTTCTTCGTTCCCCGGTGCAGACAGTAGTAGCTCTTCCGATTCTTCAACCGATGATAGTGATAGTGACAGTGATAGTGGATCCGATGATGAGGTACTTTGTTAAGAAGTTAGTTTGTCTAGAAGAAAGGTTATTTCGAAAATAACACAGTGATTGCTTCGATTCACAAGTAAAGGTATACATACGTTAGGCTCAACGGCGAAGTCGTCGTGATTCGAATTCAAGTATGGGGGATAGCGATATCGAAAGTAGGTCCTTGCAGTTTTCTTAGCAAAGAGAGATCAGAATTGTTTGTTTCTTCTAGGTCACCTCTTAGAAAGTATGAAAACAACGGGACCAACTACGTTTCCAGTGGAAAGTGTCGACATGCCATCAACTGATAGCGTTTCACAGCCATCATCTAATTATTGTACTTCTCAGAACAGTTGTCGTTCAAGGTAGGTTACTAATTGGCAGTGGTGATGAATGAAATTCTCGACGTTCATCAATCCATGAGGGATGCGCAATGCGTTCGACTTCACTAAGAATCGTTGAACGTGCATAAAATGAATAAAATGCATATCTGCTATATGCCTAAAGTGCATATCTGACCTTTACAATGAATCGTGGTGGCCTACCGATGTATCGAGCCAGAATTGCTATCCTCCCGGACAAGTCTGGTACCAATTCACCGACCCCGGGGTATGAAGGGTTTCGTTGGGCCTGGGACGCAGGGATGGATCCCGTGTGTATTGTAGGGACCTCCGACCGCTGCGCTACGCGCGCCACTACTAAGTGCCAATAATTGGCGGTAGTTGTGAGAATTTTCACTTGTTTTTGAAGGTTGTTGGGTGCCAATATTTTCTTCTTCTAGTTTTCTCAAAACTTTACATTTTTTCTTCTGCGTATTCTGCTAAGATTGAAAGTTATTACTTCAGGGAAACAACGAAGACAGATCATCAAGATCTCGGTCTGAACCTTAGCGAAAGTTCTGACGACGAAGACTGAAACTTATCGTCGACTCACTGTAGTGTGTTGTCTTTTCTTTTGATCACTGTGTGTGCTTATTTTCTTCAGTATTGCTAGAATGTTGTCAATTGTGATATTCGGGACGAGGGTTAGATGTGTGGTTCATGGTCAGGTGTCTTTCTTTTTCTGTTGTTCTAAGAAGTTTTTTTGTGTCGGTTGGGTTTCGTAGAGCTCTTTTGTTCTTCAATTTCTGGGCAGGTGCTATCATATCTGCATATTGGAATAGGGTACAATCTATCTTGTGGGTTTATCATTTCTATTGTTAATGTAAACATGACTGTTGATAAATATGACAGGGTCTGGTTTCTCTGTGTTATAGTGACGTCATATTATTGGTTGATTATTACTTCAACCGTCAAGGTATTCTAAATAATTAAAGGGCCTCATAAATTTGGCAGTGACATGAGCATAACTCACCGATTAGAAATTCATGGATAGGACGTTATACTGAAAGGAACATATAGCGCATGTCAAGAAGTCCCATTACTGACAGGTTGGTCTTATGATTTAGGAGATTAACGTTTAACTTTATGTTTAGTAATAGATGTTTAGCTATGACTGTTTGGACTTCTCATGACGTTCTTTATGAGATATTCCACCTGCGGACTAGAGATTCTACATTGAGATTGGCTAATGTAATCTCTACTTTATTCTACTAAATTGCTTTATCTGGAGAACCCTTCCTACCTCAAATCTGCCACCTTAAGTGCTGATTCTTTGAGTTGGACATTCATTCGAATTCAAACACCTAGCATTTTTAGGATGTCATCTCCGTCGGTTAAAGTGGTTGAAATGGATCGCTTGCCTTTACCGGTTCAAATAAGCTTCATTCGATCGAAGATCGTAGAGGGCGAAACTCTTCGCATTGGAAATAAGAGTTTCTCCAAGGTAGGTTGTTTGTTAGTTTTTCGAACTGATATCTAGTTTTTTCTTTTTTTTTCACAGTAGTTTTTTCCTTAGGTCATATGTATCGGTTCTGTTCTATCCTGTCGTCATGTACCATCCCTTAGCTCTCTCGAGTACGTTGTCGTCGATCCATCTGCCGATGCAGCTGCTCCGAAAGAGATCTCAGTAATTCATCGTGAAGAAGTGAAAGTATGTGAACTGTCCTGACTCTTGGAACTAATCGACGACAAAGCATTGATAACTTGTTGTCCTTAACTCTTGGAGCTGTTGGATTTTTTGTGTTTGTTTTTTTCAATAAGTTACAGTCAGCAAACTCAACTGAATGTCAAAGATTCCCCGTCGGAACTCTTATATTTATCACTGCTAAGCTCATCCGCTTTAAAGGAGCCATCGCAGTCCAGGCGTATTCCTTAAGAGAAGTTAGTTGTTCTCACTACTATAGTTTACCGAATGGTTGTAGTGTATTTGAATGTCTACGCTTTCAGCTCATTTGTTCGGAAGAATACGAATGTTTGAAAATGGAAGCCTTCCTTGCTCTACAGTATCATACGAAAGTGCGTCAATGATTTTTCTTTATCACGTCATTTGAATTTATATTTCCTTCAATTAAAAGATGTAACGGTCTTGTTTTTAGAATCCATCCGGTCAAACACCTGTGCGTCAACCTCGAGCTTCTGAATTCCGAAAATCTTTTCCGTTATTCACTCCTTCTTCTGCTTCTGGGAAACGTGTGGCCTCTTCAAATACTGTCCACTCCATTTCTCCAAAGAGATCTACCTTTCCAAATGCTAAATCCTCTGACAATTTTCAACCTATTGCTTCTAAGGGCGATAGGTCAGACGTTTCGCAACTGTGCAATATTGTAAAGGAAGTTGGTAGTCAGGATTCTTTTGAGGATAATGTTCTGTACCTCTAAATGGTTCATTTTTATTAGGAATCAGTATTTCTGGGTTTTAGATCTCTCTCGTATCTACTGATCTGTTAAGTGCTACACAATCTCGTTATTTCAACAACTTGTGACATTATTTCTCGATTTATGTTGACTTTTTCTATAGTTTTTTTTTCGACATACGGTAACTTAGCTTTGGATCGCTGGAGGTTTCATTTTTCATGGCAGATTGAGATTTTCAGGGTGAGTCTTTAGCACTGTCATATCATTTCGGAATGGGAACACGAAAGGCAAGGTTATCACTAGGATTGTCACACTTGTTCCGTATAGGAACCGAAACCACTTCCACAAGAAGTCGTGGCTGATAGTACTGTATTTATTAGATTCTTGAGATTGTATCTATATAGAGTGCATAGTATCGTACTAGTCAAAGTAGCAATCGGTGGATAAAGCTGTGCTCTTCCTTTCTGATTCTCGTTTTTTTTCTTCGATTTTTGTTCTTACTTTGATGGATCGAGAATGGTAGACAACAACCCAGCATTTACTTGTTGCTCATATTTTTTCTTTGAATGAAATTTCCATATGCTATTTAAACTGTGTGATGTTAAAATATCGAGGGTGAAGTATAATATGCAACCGGAATTCTCCGATGTCTTCATAGACAGATAAGTACGTGTGGTATGTGAGAAACTTATAGCTAGGAGATCGAACATGACAGTTACAAATGTTAATTACTACAATGATGCTGAGATGTTTGCAAAACTGCGGACCACAGGTGTCTGCGGTGTGGATCGAACGTGCTACTACCTTTTCAGGAGGCTGACTCGTGCACCACCACACCATTTTGGTCGTTCGTTCCACCTGTATCTCAGCTATTTAGTTTTTATAGACCAGTGCCATCAGCAACCACCCGTTGACGGGATTGATCTGGACTTGATCGTGCAAATGTTTAGTTATGTGACAGGTGACAAATATGCACTCATGCTATCTGGAGCGGAATGATTGCTTGTCGACCAATTCGCTTATCGGAATATTTGAACACATCTGACACAAGTAGCAGTACATACAGTGCAATGGGATAGAGGTGCTTTGCAATGCACTTGTCGCTGGTTCGATCCCACGTCCTGGGCTAATCAAGCCTACCCCACTGCGTGGCCGACAAATTCGTGCCAGATTTGCGGCGTACATTGCTAGGCCAGCGTAAGTCATTCTATAGGCAGAGTGTGCATTCAATTAACTTTAACGATGTTACGAATAGAGTCGATTGCAGGTTGTATCCCTTAGAGTTTGATCGGCGCTGAATGCTTTATCCCTTATCCCTTATTTTTTTATCTGAGAAAAGTCGATAGTGGCTCATATGAGTGTGTGCGCTGAGCTACTTCAACGAAATGTGTTTGCAAAGTAGTTTCATGGAATGTTGTTAGTATGGTAGGCGTTGGCGGTGTTGAGGAATAGGCTCAAGGACTGCCATAGCGTCATCGCTGCCGTGTATATATAGCTTTGTGATGTCTCTAAAATATGTTAGAGGGCTATTATTCTAGCAGGAAAACAGCTTGAAGTAACTTATGATTGAAGGATAACAAATAATGCACTCTACATCGAACAGCCAACAAGGGATGCGTCATGCATTCGACTCTATTCCAAGCGTCGTAAAGGTGATTGAATGCAATGTTGCCTTTTACAATCAATTGCGAGGGTTTACCAATCTATCAACTAGTTTTTTAACCTCCTGGACTAGTCTTGTATCAATTTGCCGATCACGAAGGAACGCTGAGATAGCGGATAGGGTGGTTCGGGGTGTTGCATTGAACCAACGGCCAGATTTATGTTAAGGGGCACCTCCAATTATTGCGCTATAGGTGCTGCTAACATTTGATACGGAGTTGGTAACGAGTGGACCACTGCAAACGTCTTAGCTGAGTACTTAAGTGTGATACAACCACAATGATGCTGAAATATTTGCAAAACTCCGGACTGCAGGTGTCTGCGGTGGGGAAGGAACGAACGCGTTATTACCCTTCCCGGAGTCTAATGCGTTCGCCACCACACTATTCGAATCCTTCTTTTTGCCATTCTTTCAGCTAGTTCTAGCTAGGAGTACTTAAGTGTTTAGAATGAGATATCTTGAATAGAGGTGAAGAAAAGTTCCCTACTTTTAGATTTCGGGCTAAGTGATGGTGAACTTTAGCAATCTTATCATTTTTCACGTGAGATCACTCTGCCGCTTCTTCGTTTGTTCTCCAGCGGTATCTTTTTGTAAAGTAAATGTCGTGCTCGACACTCGACACAGCTAGTCTTTGAACGTTGTGGGATCTTCAATCATCAGCATGAACCGGTATTTCCCTAGGTA